CCAGCACCCAGGGGCACCCCCACATCCAGAACTCAGGGTACCCCAAGACACGCCAACTGGGGGCACCCCCCAGACCCAGTATCTGGGGCTGCCTCCAGACCCAGCACCGAAGGGTGCACCCCCACAGCCAGCACCCAGGGGCACCCCCAAACCCAGCACTCAGGGGCACCCCCAAACCCAGCACCCAGGGACACCCCCAGACCCAAATTACATCCCTCTTGGGACTGGGGCACCCCCAAACCCACCACCCCCAGATGCAGCACCTGGGGGTGTCCCCAGACTCAGCACCGAGGGGTTCACCCAGACCCAGCACCCAGGGGCACCCCCAGACCCAGCACCCAGGGGCACCCCCACATTCAGCACCCAAGGGCTCCCCCAGACCCAGAAACTGGGGACACCCACACACACAACACGATGGGCACCCCCAGACCCAACAACCAGGGAACACCCCCAAACCCAGCACCCAGGGGCACCCCCAGACCCAGAACATTCCCTCGGGGACCAGGGAACCCCCACATCCAGAACCCACGGTACCCTCAGACCCAGCACCCAGGGGAGGCCCCAGACCCAGCACTGGGGGCACCCTCAGACCCGGCACATCCCCCCGGGGACTACGACACCCCAAACCCAGCACCAAGAGGCACCCCCAAACCCAGCACCTCCCTCTCAGGACTGGGACACCCCCAATCCCAGTTCATCCTCCCCGGGGGGGTTACCAGAGCCCCCCCCGCTCCCCCAAAAGATGCACCTACTTGTGGATGAAGACCCTGCTCATGCCCAGGGCGCGGGCGATGGCGCAGGCGTGCTGCACCCCCAGACCCAGCACCCAGGGGAGCCCCCAGACCCGGCACATCCCCCCGGGGATTATGACACCCCAAACCCAGCACCAAGAGGCACCCCCAAACCCAGCACCTCCCTCTCAGGACTGGGACACCCCCAATCCCAGTTCATCCTCCCCGGGGGGGTTACCAGAGCCCCCCCCGCTCCCCCAAAAGATGCACCTACTTGTGGATGAAGACCCTGCTCATGCCCAGGGCGCGGGCGATGGCGCAGGCGTGCTGCCCCCCGGCACCCCCAAAACACGCCAGCACGTGCTGGGCAGCGTCGTGGCCCCGCGCCTGCCGTCACGGGGGGGACACACCGCGGTGACCCGGGAGGTGCCACCAACCACCCCCCCCCCACCCCCCACACCCCACCTGCGTCAGGGCGCGGATGGGCCGGCACATGGCCTCGTTGGCCACCCGCAGGAAGCCCATGGCCACCTCCTCCACCGAGAGGGCGGTGGCGGTGGCCTGGAACGCCCGGATGGTGGTGGCCATCTCCTCGAAGGCTTGAGCCGCCGCCTCCCGGCACAGCGGCTGGTCCTCCCCCGGCCCGAAGATGCGGGGGAAATATTCGGGGAGCAGCCGGCCCAGGCAGAGGTTGGCGTCGGTGACGGTCAGTGGCCCCCCTGCGCCGGGACGGGGAGCGCCGTGAGCCACGGGGACCACCACGAGCCACAGGGACCACCACCACCCCCCCGGCACTCACCCTTACGGTAACAGGCAGGGCCAGGGTGGGCACCCGCCGACTCGGGGCCAACCACGAAGAGACCGGACCTGGTGGGTAGATGGCGGTGGTGGCCATGCTGGTGGTGGCCAGGAGAGATGCAAGTGCTGGCCATGCCAGTGGTGGCCATGCTGTTGGTGGCCAGGAAATGCCAGTGGTGGCCATGAGACACTGGTGGTGGCCATGCAAGTGATGGCCATGCCGGTGGTGGCCAGGAGATGCTGGTGGTGGCCATGCTGGCAGTGGCCAGGAGACATTGGTGATGGCCATGCCGGTGGTGGTCATGCTGGTTGTGGCCAGGAAGCACCAGTGGTAGCCAGGACACACCGGTAGCGGCCAGGTTGGTGGTGGCCAGGACGGTGGTGGCCAGAAGATGCCAGTGGTGGCTGTGCCAGCAATGGCTGGGAGACAGCAGTGATGGCCATGTGGTGGTGGCCATGCCAGTGGTGGCCAGGAGACACTGGTGGTGGCCAGGAAATGCCAGGGGTGGCCAGAAGATGCCAGTGGTGGCCATGCCGGCAATGGCTGGGAGACACCGGTGGTGGCCATACTGGTGGTGGCCACGCTGGTGGTGGCCAGGAGATGCCAGCAGTGGCCATGTGGGTTGTGCTGCACCACCGAGCTGCACCGGAGCCCCCCCCTCATGACCAGGGACACCCCCCCGGTGGCCGTAGCCCCCCCACCCACCTGAAGAAGAGGCGGG